AATTAGTTATTAACAATTAATTTAGCAATAATTTGTTTTAAATTACAGACAAAGAAATATGCTATTTAAACAAATTAAAAAATAAAATAAATAAAAATAAAAAATAAAATAAAAATTGTTCAAATTGGCTTCGTTTTCAGTATGAATTTTTCGAACTTAGCCGTTAGTTAATATATTAATATATTAAGAAAAAAGAACATTAAATTTAGTATTAGAAACGAAAAAACAAAAATACATATATTGTTAAAAATTGTTATCAGTGTAAGTTTACTAAACGAAATATGCGTTAAATTACGTTTAAATATAGAAGACAACAAAAACAACAAAAACAACAAAAAATAAAATAAAACAACAAATATATACATATATATATGTATTGTTCAAAAGTTTTAAATGCAAGAGATATCATTTTAAAAACAAAACAATTATGAAATTATTAGTAATAATAAAAAATAATTATATAAAATATGAAAAATATAATAAAACAAAAAAATAAATAAATTAACATATAATATAATTAATTAAAATATTTTAATTTAATAAATTATCTAATTAAATTATTAAAAAATAATAAATCAATTAATAACAATTAATAAAAAAAAATAATATAAATAAATAATATTAAAATAAATAATGTTAATGTTAAATAATGTTAAAGTTAAATAATGTTACAATAAATAATGTCACAAGCAACAAAAATAATAAATAATTATAATAACAATAAAAAAAAAATTTAAAAAAATAAATTAATATATTATATAATATAGAAATATTATAAACAAAATAATAATATAAATTAAAACAAAATGTGATAAAAAAAATATTTAAAAATATGTATGTAAGAATAAATTAAAAAATTATATAAAGTAGATATATAATATACACAATAATGTTCTGAATTTAAAACAAAATATGATAAAGATATATATAAAACATACAACCAATATAAATTACTATAAATAATAATAAAATGAGGATAAAGCATAGAAAATAACATACAAAAATTATAAACATTAATTCTGAAATTAAATTAATCAAAATCAATTATTTTAAAATAAATAGTAAAATATTACAGTTAATATAAATAAAATAAATAAATAACTTCAACTAAAGGGCATAAGATAAATAAATATAGTAATAATAATTAATAATAATGATAATAATGATAAATAAAATAAAAATAATAATCATAATAATGATAATAACAATTAATAAGAATAATAATAATAAAAAAAATAATAATAATAAAAATAATGAAAAATAATAATAATAGTATTAATAAATACTAATAATAAAAATAAGTAATAACAATAATAATAAATAACAACAACAATAATAATAATAAAAATAAATAATAATAAAAATAAATAATGATAACAGAAATAATATTAAAGAATATAAAATAAATAAATTAAAAAGAATATAATAAATACTGATCCAACACAAATTAAAAAAAAAAATTAATAAAAATTTAAAGCAATTTCAAAAATAATTAATTAAAAATATAATAGTAATAAAATAAATAAAAATTAATAAAAATTTAAAGCTATTTCAAAAATAATTAATTAAAAATATAATAGTAATAAAAATCAAGAAAGTTTTTATTCATAAAATATTAAATTTTCTTAAATAAGCAATAAAAAGAAATAAATATAATAAAATAGACAACAATATAAAGAAATATTAGTTCATTAATTACCAAACTTAATAAATATTTTGTTAACATAACCTACAATAAATTTATTGCAAATAAAAAAAAATAAAAGTAATCATCTAACACTGTTAAAAACTGTTAAAAGAATAAATATATTAAATATAACAAAAAGGAAATAAAGCATGTGAAAAAAAATATATAGAATTAAGTATATAAAATAATATATACAATAATTAAATATTATAAAAATAAACATAAACATAGTTAAATGTTATAATAAACAATAATTATATATAATAAAAATTAATATAACAAATCGAAAATTATTTAATATAATATTTTTTTTTTGTATTTATTTTACTGTTTTGAAAAATGTAATTAAATAAATAACAAGTAAATCGAATACAATTAATAAAAATTAATCACTACAAGTAATAAATAAAATAATTATTATAACCAATAAAATATTCATAAGAATCAATAAAAAAAGATAATAATAAATTGAAATAAAATATAATAGAAGACTTATTAAAATGTGAATATATTTATACAAACAAAAAATATTATATAATTAAATAAATAATTACAAATATATCATAAATAAATATATCATAAATAATATAAAAAAAACTGCAAAAAACAATTAAATTTTGTGAATAAATTAATTGCCCATAATTGAAAAATAATAATGAATTAAATAAATTTAAATTAAATTAAAACAAAAGAAATTAATAAAAACAAACCTATATAATATAAAATGCAGTAAATATAAAATAATAACGAATTTAAATGAAAAAAATTTTGGAAGTAATTACTTAATTAAAACATTAAAATAATATAAACAAATACATACTATATAAAATGCAATAAATAAAATATAATAATCTACTAAAAGAAAATATATAAGGAAAGTAATTAGAAAATTTAAAAAGTTGAAATAATAGAAATAATATAATTTAAATCAATATAATAAATATATAATTTTAAATAAATATAAAATAATAATGGATTAAATTGAAATGAATGTGACAATTAACTCGATAATTTAATATAAAAAAATTCAGAACAATAAATAATAATAAAATATTTATGTTATAATATTTAAAATATTATAACAGAAAATATAAAAAAAAATTAATGATATAAAAAATAATTAATAAATAAAGAATAATAATAAGAAATTGAAAATATATAAAATAAATTATTTATGTATTAATAACTGTAAATGAAAATATTTAAAATAGCATAAAAATAATTATTATTAAAAAATTATTATTGTTATACATTATCCTGATTATGAATAAGTTTAATTTTTTATTAACGATTTTAAAAATAGTTATATGCATTAGTTTTAAAATTAATATCATTTTTAATTAATATTTTATTGTTTAATTTTTGTTGTTTTAAAATTAATATTTGCTTTTCAAACAATACCATAACTATAAGAGATAACTACTATTTTTATTTATATTGTTAGTTATAATTTCACAAACGAAAGCAATAATAATAATTATAATAACATAATTATAATAATAAATAATAATAATTATAATAACACTTGTATAATGAATTATATTATTAATAAAAATATTATTATTATCAATAATAACTTCAAAATTGTTATAAATAAAATCTATTAATGGTAAAAAAAATAATAGCAGTAATTTTAAAATGCATGTAAATTGTTTAATATATATATATATGTGTCTATATATACATATGTATGTTTGTATAATTCTTGAATAAAAACAGACACTGCATAACTAAACACTGATTATATTATAAAAATAATTGAAAATAGAAAAAACGCTGAAATTTATTATAATTAAAAAAAGAATTAATAAAAGAAAAAAATATTAAGATACAAAATGTTTTTTTTATTATTATTAAAATTAGAAACCCTAATGATCTAATGAAGAATTGATCATTAACATATCGAAAGTCGATCGTTTTTGTCGAAAGTAGATTCCCACTGCCTTCGTTTGATTAAAGTTGCTAATTAAATTTGATTTACCAAACAAAAAGCTTTCCTGTGTTTTAACTTAATAATATATCAAGGGATGCATATATATTTGATATTATTATAAGATATCATATATAATTTAACAAAAAATATTCATTTTAGTTGGATATCACCTGAAGTGTAAAACTCTCCTAAAACTTTCTGACACATAAAAGCTCTTTCACATGCATAAATCAACTTAAACTAATGGAAACGACGAAATAAGTTATTTTAGTTGTAGTGGGAACATGATATAACATGACCTCATTTATTTTTTCACACAAAGATTTTGCAATACTGGATTCTCTTCATATAGGTTCCCAATGCCTGGTGTGTATAAAACAAAATAATGAATGAAATTACTTGAGCAAATATTTCATGCAATGGATTATACTGAAAATAAGCTTTTCAGTATAAATTATTTCAATATTTTAATGATTTTGGAATTTCGTTGTTGAATGAAAAGTAGAATTGACAAATTAATAAGAAATAAATTTGGATTTTCCATAGTTTAATTAGAACAAATTCAAGTATTATGAGATAATTTATTATTCAGTGCTTATGAATTAATTAATATCACTTTACTAATTAATTGGAAGACTGTGATATATTAGCGGATCCAATGCTATAATCTGCGTCTCTTTTAATTTTTATTAATTTATATAGAAAGTATGAAACAATATTTTGTATTCTGGTGGAATAATGACTAATATGGCCTGTGATATTACAATCTTACATCTCAAGTTTTTGAACGATCTTCGTAAACGTCGTTCTTGAGTGAATTACGTTTACAATGAAACTTGTTATTACAGCGTTTAATAGTTTAAAAGGAATGTGGGGGAATGAGTTGAGAAAAATTAAAGTCACTATAAATAACCACAAATCGTGCGAGTCCACAATCCACAATCCAACCCTACTTCCTGATTCCCCCCTCACCCACCGGCACTCAATCAACCATCATCTATCCTTTTCCTAACTCATGTATACATGTTGTTAATGCTTTCATGTTAACTGCTTTCTAGATCCCAGCGTGCTGAAGCAACAACAACAACAAATCGGGCGTAAATACAAAACGTTCTGTGTCCGGTAGTAATTAATAATATGAAATTTTTCAGTGTAGATATCAGTCCTCATCTACCAATACTTAGGACTATTAAGGCTCTCAATATAGTGATTTTCGCACTACAACAATTCATTCAATTTTATTTTTTGCTAAGACAAATAGATACAAAAATATATATCATTGTTTTCTTCTTTTAAATATATTTCATTTAAAATATAATGCAATTAATTAAATCATTTAAAAACAGTATTGAAAACAAACTCATTATTTAAAATCTGGACCTAAAATACAAAATTTACAAGGAATAAATAGTAATGTAGATACTATTATATATATATATATGTATATATATAGAAATTTGTACATACATATTATCAAAAATGACAACTATTGAAAAAGACTTCTATTAAGGTTCATTTCGGCAAATAATTGATATTCGACGTCCCTTACGTATCGGCTGGCCATTAAATTTGGAGAACTCATTGGAGAGAATTTCATGTGTAAAATTATAGCGGGAAGAATGACTAAAATATAAACAATTATTTTGAATTTCTATTAGGTAATATAGCACAGGTTACCTCATAATATACAGCGATCTTCTGGGTAACAATACATCAGCATAAAAATTATTTTCTATTGTTGCCTTTGGTTGGTTGCGATAGGAATCATCTGTACTTTCATTTTGGGTAGCTGGTTTAGTTTTATCGCAGTCGGTAGTTTCTGAATCCTGTGCTGTTTGCCTATATTTTGTTTCATCAACGCGTATCAAACGCATTACACAATTGGAGAGCAAACTCATACCAGAGATCGTTGTGCCACAGTACTAAAATTTGAAAATGGTTTAATAATTAAAAATACTATATTAATATGTATTATCATATATTCTACGGTTGTTGTTGTTGCTAGCTTTATAGTACCAACAAAAGCTATAACAAGTTTTCTTATAGCAAAAAGACAATAATTTATATTTTGATAAACTATACTTTACCCTCGTACTATCAACATGCGGTTTGATCACACCTTTCTCTGCTAAGTCCAAGATGTGCACATAAGGCATTATGGCACCATCAAAAGCTACTTGACGTACTCGTTCTAGTATTTGACGATTATGTGGATACCACTGCTTGCGTTCAGTTTCACGAAAACCATGTATAGCCTGTAAATTTTATAATTCCACATTAATTTTTTTAATGAAATAAAAAATACGTGTATAATTAAATACTTTTAAATTTTAAGAAAAAAAACGATTCCTTTTAGCGTTGTCATAACTTTAATTCCATTTACACAAATAGTTGTATCACAATAAACTATGAAACACTACATTACTTACAGCCACTTTTTAAACACCTTAGCGCTAAGAACAGAAACTTGATCTACTGCTATATAATAACACCGGCAATTCTCTACGGGTGTGTTGCGTACAGTAAAGCTGCCAACTCTATTATCCAGAAGCTACAAGTTGCTCAAAGTCAGGCTCTCCGTAGACTCTTCAAAGTGCCATAGCACAACAGCACGAATGTAATGCTAAGAGACCTCAGAATAGGCATCGTCAAAAAATACATAAGGGACAAGCCCTGAAGCCATACATGAAAACTGATAGGCTGCCCTACATAGCACTGTGTAATCTCAGAGCAGTCACTAGACGTACGGGCGGTATGTGGATCTTAGATCAGTCATCGAATAATTAGCAAAGCTTTTGTGGAATATATAAATTAGTCAAAGAGAAGGGAGGGACTCTGTAGAAACCTCCACAGCTAAGAAAGAGTAAAAGTGCCCAGTTCCACTAGCTCGGATAAACCTCAACATAGGTAAGAACATAAGAATAAGCTATAAAATAGAGTTCCTCTTAGGTGTGGAGCTAATTTTATCTATGCCACCAACGGCAACCTACTAGATTCCATCATCACGTCGTATTTATTCTTTATGTATTTGTGTTGAAAAACTCTTGGTAACTCTGGTAATTACAAGGAAATGGTGTATGAAAAAAGAAAAATTGGTTTAAAAAAATCGTAAAATTAACATACCTATACTAAAAAAATTAAAAAGTATTGATTTACGAAAATAATTCGAAAATAAGACGATACTTTACAAATATTTTTATTTTAAGAAGTGTGAGGTTTTCCGCAAAAAATTATTGAAAATACTTCCAAAAAAAACATATTGACTTTAGACTATAATTTGTTAATCTATTTATCTATAAAAGCTAATAGATAATACATATCAAAGTAAATGCTATTTAATGAACTAAAAACTGGTGTTGAAGTTTTTTCATCGAACGTTTTTTTAGGTTGAAAGGCTGGAACTTGAATTTTGTCTATGTCGACTTTATGTACCTTGATTCATAAAGTCATAAGGCTTATGCTAAAAGTTTCAATCGATTAACTCAGAAACCGAGAGACTAGTCTTTATATAAACATGCGACCATTCAACCGGACACGATAACTGAATCGATTCGTCGTCTAACGTTCAACAGTAATTATTATAAAATATTTGGTTTCGTTATTTTTTTCCCTGGGTTATAAATAGTTTGTCAAATAAGTACTCCTCTCATTATATATATTTAAAGGGTATTAGCAACATTTCTTTTGTGAAAATAATTAAATATTTTCAATTTTACTTAATTAAAATTTATGTTTATTTAAAATATATTTTATTTCTCTTACATCATCCCAATGGTCAAATTCATAATGCAACCGTTTCATATATGGTTCAATTTCTTCAAATAGTTTGGACTCCTCCTCTTCGCTAATAAAATCTTTAATGATTCGCAAGTCTTTAACGAAATTCTTCTGCTCATCAGTCGGCCATTTACCATTAAATTCTATTAGATTATCAACTGAAAAATAAAATTATTATATATTTTATTAAAATATTTTTCTATTATGTATATAATATTATAAACTATATTTCTGCTATATATGAATTTCTCATTTAAATTCTCTTATTTTTTTTACATTATATTAATTTTTTATTTATATAAAATAAATATTATTTATTTTTTATATAAATTTTTTTTTTTAATTTTATTAATTAATATTTTTTTCTTTTTCGTTTTTAAAATTTTGAAAGATTTTTCCTTCATGAATAAAATAATAAAACAAAAATAAAATAAAAACAAAAAGGTTTTTAACTTCTCATCAACATAATAGGGTAAAGTATAAAGTATTGGTTTAATTTACAATTTATTAAATAAGAATTTATATTTACTATAAAATGTTTAATTATTTTAGAATTCTTTTTAAAAGTTTTTACCGCCATCTAACATTTTCAATGAATTTAAAGTGGTTGAGGAATTGAATAGTGGAGACTTCGCCCATACGCCCAAAATACCGTAAAATGACAAGCGTAGACCGTGTGCTTATGTATCACAGACCGTTTGCAAAGACCGTATTAATAAAGACACATCACATCTCGTATGAAATCTTTAATGCACTTTGAGGCTTTCAATATCCATTGTAGGGTAGTTGGAGAAGTAGTTGGAGAAGTAGTTGAAGAAGTAGTTGGAGAAGTAGTTGCTTAAAGATGGTGTATAATTTAAACCCCAAAACTCAACAATATAACAGAATCACTAATAAAACACTAAATTGATGATCAAAATTCGGTTTCATTCACCATATAGTCTTTTTCATTAAAAGAAAGACATTAATTCTAACACTTCTCTCACAATTTGTTTATAGACTTCAAAGTAGACTTAGACTTGCTTAGAGTATTAAAAAAAATTATTTTCCCTAGTAAAATTTCTTTAAGTTCACAAACAGGTAATAGTTGTGAAATATTATATCCGAAAATTGGAGATATAATAGGGATATTCTTTCTAGTTGGATAGGAAGGCAGTCCAATGCATTAAATGCATTAAACATTGACGCATTAATGCATCTACTTGTTCTGATGCTGTGATAAAAAAAAACACTTTTTTCTTCTTCATTTAAGGTCATGTCTTTTCACAATTTCGTACTTCAAATACACCAACGTCGCCATATAATATTCGTTAAAGATACGTAAAATAGCATGCATATATCTAGTAATGGTCAATCTCTTTCTAACTAATATCAACCTTTTCGATGAATTTGTTCTTAGCTGCTTACAGACTAGTATCTGGAGCAAAGTGAGATCAATCTTTCATTCGTGGATATATATGACATGCAACATAATCCTTTAATTTGCACTGCAACAGCTTTAGACTCTGTTCTAAAACATTAACGCTTTCTATTTAGATATACGACAATCAAAAGTAGTACCACTTTAAACATACGATTTGCATAATTAATTCATTTATCAGGAACTCGGCTTTATCAAGTTCAAATGACTTTATGGACTTTTTTAATGTTTTCTACAGTAACCAACAATTTCGCAAAAATAAAACGTTTAACTTTATCGGTTATGTACCATCAAGTTAAAATTTAGCAAACCATCGACAAATATTTGAGTTCCGCCCAGTTTGAAAACTAATAAATCATCTCTTTCTATCGTCCTGTCATTTGTTGTATAGAAATCTGTGAAAGAAAAGAAGTAATCGATTGATACTGGGAAAACCAAGCAATCCATATCTATATTACTTTTATTGCAAATACTTGAATTCTTCTAAGCAAAGCTTAAAAATTTTTCAGATGACCATCTATTTTGCTGAATAGCTTAGGCGCTCTAACCTTAACAAGTCTGTACTTGGTACAAAATTTTTTGAATATCAGAGTTTTACTGCCTGATGACTTGCTTGTAGATAAGCTATCTGTTATTCCGGTTTAACATTTTACTTTTGAAGAGTGTTGAAGCTGATGCAGAGTAAATTTGTGAATGGATTTCGTTTTTTGTTTTGATGTGGTGTTTTCAAAACACATTTTGTAGAAGATAGTTAAGATCAATTTATTGTATCACTCCCCTTAATTCTGGCATTATTAACTATTAACACTTATAATTTGATGACGTTTACGAGTGATAAAAATTGCTCATTAAGTTTGATTTTCCATTTCTGAAAGTTATTAACAAGATCACCAATATCCACTTGCAAAGAGTTCGAAATTTTAATTGAATCTAAATCAAAATACAAAATAAATGCATTATCAGGTAAAAAATTTGGTTCCGTTTTACATTTCAGTAAAGAGATAATGACAGTGTTAAGCTCCTTCTTATTCAAAATAACGCCTATAATATAAACAAAATGAACTAGACATGTATTAGTTTACACTATTCGTCCCATTCACTTAAATAAATATTATGCATACAAACAAATTCCTATTGTTTACAAAACAACAACATTGTTGTTGCAAATTTGTTATTTTATCAAAGATGAAAACAAAAGTAGTTGCTGTAGCTGTACAGAAACTTTCAAATACTCAAGTAAAAATGAAGATATTATAGCTCATAAAGACACCTGACTATGTTACTACTGAATATCCAATTATTTATACACTGATATGAAAATCATGTTCTTGTTTTGGGAGACTTCTAATCTTTTAAATGATACACACAAATTACGTAAAGTATTAAAATATTATTCAAAAGACATAACTTAATAGATTCTACTTAGTCCATCAAAAATCAAACTATAGAACCAATATTTTATATACTTTAGGGGCGCGAGAGAATGAAAATGTTTACATGAACCCTGGATCCAGGTAAAGGAACCTTGCTGACATATAACCCTTATAAGGCATATATCAATAGTGCTCAAATTAATCTGTACATTAATGAAACGAACACATAGGAAAAGTCGTAAGGCGTAGACTGTGGGTTTCAAGAACGGCAGGGTCTACATCAAGAAACCACTTACCCACGCAAATGACGAGTCGCTGTTGTACTAACATAAGTCATAACATAAATGGATATTAAAAAACTGACACGTGTTTAAATTGTTGCATTTGAATGTTGTTCAATCCTTAAGGCTGTAATAAAAAATTTACCTGACGAATTACTTATATTTCCAACACTAGCATTGGACAGATATTTACTTTTATCAATGCATGCGGCTGGTTCTAACGTTACCATTCTTCTACTCACAATTATGAGGAATGTGGAATTGAAACGACTTTCTTAGCTAATTGAGAGGGATTTTTTTCTTCTTCCACCCAACCTAACAGAACTCATTTGAACTCTCATTTTGTGAAGATTTAAAAATATCTCTCCATAATCTTTCATTACTTATGGCGTCGGCAATTGTTAAATCTAGACTCCCAATGTTCCTCTGGGAACGAAATGAAATGAAGAAAAAATGTAGATTCAATCTAAATTTACTCTTCATCTATCAAATTTTGTTGCTCAATCGAACATTTTTAGAGTAATCTAACATTTTTGTAATAGTGTTAGTAGACATGTATATTTTTCATAAATACATATATCGAATCAAATCACTCTTTATTTGTAGAGTCATATAAAGCAGCTGTTAATGTTCGATTAATCTTACTGACAAAATATCTAGAGTATCATAAACTTATCTCGAGTATTATACATTTCGCTCGAGATTTACCAATCGAAACTGAAAATTGCACTAAAAGTTAATCTTGATTGAAAAAATGACCTCAGATCTACCAATCGGAAATGCCATTAGATCCCACCAGCTCATTTTTCGCTCCAGTTTCCTTCTTTATCATATAAATGTTTAATTAAAATACCATAGAAACTGTTTTGAAAATTGTTGGTGCAACCATATAAGTTAAAGATTTTATTTTAATTTTATGTGATTTTGACCACTGTGCGGTATTAAATTCGTAGAGTTTTGTGTGATCAAAATTATCACTTCACTGTTATTTATTTATTGTTAAGTGTTTTAAACATTTTCTTTGAAGTCTTACATAAAATTTCGCAACTTCAAAACCAACCATACCGTATTATTTACTACTAACTGATTTTGGCTGATTTATTGAGTGTTAGGAGCAGATGTGTGAGATACAATCAATATGGAGCAGAGCACTGCGCTGATTTCCTACTGCTTCTGACACTTTTACTTTTAAACAAGTTTAAAAATATTTATTACTGCCGCTTTCTTTCACTTATTTTTTTTTCTTTTTTTTTTTTGTTGATTTGTGTTTTGTTTATATGCGGCATTTTTTTTATTTTTTCTTTTTCGCATTTTGTTACATCAAGACAGCATCTTTTAGTATGACAAATCATCTCGTTTCTCATTTATTCACTTAATGTGGAGGCAAAACGTGATTAGTATTTCGTACTCTCATTGTATTTAATGAATTGATTTCATAAATCAATTTATTATTTGGCTTTGTTTTCCGTCTAAGTTATTATCTAAGTTACTATTGATTCGTATTTATGGCTTCGGAGATGATTATCAAACTACATATAGCTAAAGTAAAATACGTATCAGATTATTTTTCGATATCCACATTTTGGATTATATTTCATATTATAATGAAGATTTACAACCACATATGTTAGCTTTAAAAATCTTATTGAAAAAACAAAGGTTTGTATGATACCCTAATAGAAGAACAAGCTCTATATATACCGTCTCTACACAATCGACTATTGTCTAAACCTAATTTCCTGAGTTCAACTTTTTAGAATGGTGATGAGATTGTTTTATGTTAATATAAGATAATCTCAGCATATTAGTTTTTACTTTGAGAACATAAATATCCTTAACATAAAGCTATTAAAAATTTGTTATCAAGAATCGATAAAAAAACTTTAGTTAGGTATTTATGGAAAGAACAAAAATCTTATATTTTATCCTTATTTGTATCTTAACAAATCGCAAAAATTTTAGATTCTGATATATCTAACCAAATCTGAAAATTTTTGGTTGTGATATATCTTAACAAATATAGATAGAACTAGAAAAATTGGGTTCTAATATATCTTAACAAATTTTGAATCCTGATACATTTTAACATATCAGAAGTAATTTAGATTCTGATATATCTCAGCAAATCGAAAAAATTTTGGGTTCTAATAAATCTCAACAAATCAGAAAAATTTTGGGTTGTGATATATCTTAACAAATTGGAAAAATATTGGGTTCTGATATATCTTACAAATCAAAAAATTTTAAGTTCTGATATATCTCAACAAATCGGAAAAAATTTACATTCTGATATCTCTTAACAAATCAGAAAATTTTTGATTGTGAAAAATCTTAATAAATCAGAAGTATGTTATTTTAGATAGTGATATATAATAACTAATCGGAAAAACATTAGATTCTGATATATCTTAACAAATTAAAAAGAATTTCGATTCTGACATATCTTAACAAATTGGCAAAATTTTGAATTCTGATATATCGTAACAAATCGCATAAATATTTATTTTGGTATACACTAACAAATCTATAAAATACTGGGTCCTGATATATCTTAACAAATCAGAAAAATTCAAAATACTGATATATCATATGATGCAATTTGCAACTACGTCTTATATATTTCTATCAGAGCATTATAAATGGATTATAAGTGGAATTTTCAAATAAATGAGTAACGAACATGGACACATAATATATCAGGTATTATGGTTTTACTGATTATAATAATTTATCCAACAAATATATTCGGATTTAAGAAAATTATAATTTGTTAAGCAATTTACCCTTATTAAATTGGGAAAATATATTAAATAATCCAGATGGTTTTCAAAAAGACGGAATTGAGTTCTACTATAAATAGACAAAGTGTGTTAAAAGTATTCGATATAACTATTATAATTAATTATAATGAATTTTTCATTATATACATAATAAAATAATTTTGTATATATATTATCATATGAAATTGATTTTAATCATATAATACAAATATGGTATACAAATATTTTGAAGAACCCTCTTGGTAAAAAATGATTAACAGGCTTAATGAATTTCAAAATATAAACTTGATCTTATAGATTGATCTTAAGATCTATAGATCTTATTGATCGATATAGATTGATCTACTTATCCTAATTCTTCAACACTATAAGCGATAACCGTACAGACCAGCATTTCTTCGTATGATTAATAAGATTTTTTAAACTTTCTACATCGTTCTTCAAGCACTGTCTGTTTTTTCCAATTCTATATTCTCATTGTTCCTAAATCAACTTTTTGTTGTGTTTGCCTTGGATTCACTGATCATCTCTAAGACATAACCAACTTAAATTTATTTAATGCTTAGTTTCTCATTTCAATCATCTCAGTATTATAATATTTTTTTAGAATAGAACTGTCGTATAACAATGGACCTACTTCTTATATCATGTTGCCACTATTTCTAAAACTACTAATGTTAATGAAATTAAGATTTGGTCGTTTCCATTGGCATAAGCTGATTTATTTAGCTTATGCCAATTTAAGCTAATTTAATTTAGCTTGTTTGTTTACATTTTATATGTACAACATATGACAAATAGTTCAAATTTTGGTGTTTTTCCTTGTGGGAAATTTATTTTTCTGGGTTGCATTCACCATTTTTTGCCTCAAATCATTTCATTTATTTATAATGAGCTTATTTAGCGGCCATAATGGACAAAACTGAAAATAGAATTAAATCAGACAAGTAGGTGTTTTGCTATTAGTGTCCAAAAGAGCTATTGCAAATAGCTAATAGGACTGATACCTACCAATTTATCATTTAAACTTATAGTTTTATCTAATAGCAGTCCTTAAAACCGCTCTATTGTAAATAAAGGATTAAATGATAAAAAAATAATAAATAAAGGAATTTATTGTGACAATTAAATTTCCGTTCCCAAAGTTAAACTTGCTCATGTAATAAAATATTTTAAGCAATTTTTTTATAATACATACCCACTGTTCTGTCTACTCTCTGGAGTTAATGTAATTGTTGGTTTATTGTATAAGCAGTTAAAGCCGCGTAGCGGAAGGCGAAGTTATTTAAACTTCAGTAGGACGGAAATTTAGTTAGTCATTCGCTCGCGAGTGCGACGCGCAAGTCATCTGAAAGCAACTGTCTCGAGATCTGTGCACTGGAAACACTCGCGTTGAGTATTTACATAAATAAATAAACAAACCTTATAACTAAATCGTAAAAGTTTTTCTAAATAATTTCTAAAACAAACAATATAAAAAAAAAAGAAAGACATAATTGCGAAAATGGATAGCGACACATTTCGTGAATTTGGAAAGGCTGCAGTGGATTTTATAGCGGATTACATGGATTCAATACGTGACTGGTATTAATATAGATTAAATAAAACTAAAAGGCAACCATGTATAATTAATTTTTGGTTTGCTTATATATAGCGATGTCTTATCTTCAGTCGCTCCTGGCTATTTGTTTGATTTGTTGCCCAAGGAAATTCCAGAAAAGCCCGAAGACTATAAAACAATTCTGAAGGACATACATGACGTTATAAAACCAGGAATAACACATTGGCAATCACCAAATATGCACGCTTTTTATCCAACAGCGTCAAGCTTTCCATCTATAGTCGGAGAAATGTTAAGCGCTGGCTTTGGAGTTATTGGCTTCAATTGGGTATGAAGTGTTTTAAGATTTTTCCAGAAATTCCAGAAAATCCAGAAATTCCTTGTTCTTCTCTACTTGAGTTAGTGTCTAAAGCAGTTTACTCATTAGTGTCTGTAATCATTTAAACAAATTGCTGATTTTATAATATTGACTATAAAATTTGCCGTGTTTTGCAAAGTGAAAGTATCTTATTATTTATTACGAAATGAAATCAATAGTTCACACTTTTTTCATATTTACTTTACATAAAAGCTGCAAATGTATCTTATATTTTCACATTAGTTTCTTGCTTTTGTAGCTGAACTAAAAAGTGTGCTTTCCATAAAACACTCCATAAAATATAATTGTGAATCCTTAATCTAGCTAGTTAGTTAGTTGTGTTGTGGAACGAGTCCTCCGCAATTAGTTAAGAAACCCGTTTTGAATCCACAAATCCGCGTAATAGTGGGTAGTAGAGAAACGGTCAAGCTAGAACCAGCCAGAGGCATTTATAAAGACAGGAATCTGATCAATGCTAATACTAGAGATATCGCCGAATGTATTGAAGGGGGCCCCCAGAAACTTAAAACTATACTTAGTCTAAGATAGTAAAAGAAACTAGTATGGCTACGACTTTCATTTACAATATTTACCGAGATATACCTATAGTGTCAAGTGTAACTACGTGGAAAAAGATATTTTTTATTAAAAAACACATAAGCGATATCATAACAGTAACTTAAGTCTTGACTTAAGTGGATGCTTAATACCATGTTTCCACTGCTTTCTCAATAAATTACTTAAATAACTTCAAGATTTTGTCGTTTCTATTAACATAAGTTACTTATTCCATGTCAAAGAACTTTAACGTGTCAGTAAATTTTTTGAAAGTTCTAAAATAGTTTCTGTTTATTTAAAAAAACTTTACTTAATAATATATCACACAAACAATTAAATATATAAATGATATTTTTATTTGATAAATATTTCAAATTTCGGTAATATTCACTGTGGGATATTTATTTTTAAGCGTTGCATTCGACATTTTTGGTCTAATTATCCTTACTTTATTTGTAAGTAAACTAAAAATCACGGTAGCTCTTTGTATGGTTAATGAAATTTATTTAGTAAACTACACTTACTAAGGACGTGTGTGATTTAGGCTAAGTTGATGCTAAACCAAATGGGAAATTTTTTGGGATTTTTTGCACTGCACACATTTAGCCATTATCGGCACAACTTAGAATTTCCCTCATTTAGAACCCAACTTAGCCGAACTCGCACACGTCCTAAGTAAGCAGTGGAAATGTACTATAACTCACCAATTTTCTAACCTAGCTTATACTTAAGTCAATTTTGATGTATAGAAAAAATATGTTCGAAACTTTTCAAGATTTTTGGAACTACGAAACCGTTTAAACGCATTCAAGTAAAACAAGCTATTATGAAACAAATTATAGGTTGTTTACTGGACAAAAAATTGATACATATATGAGTTAAAGCTATGTGATAACCTAACTTATATATATTTTCTATGTTCAGATATTCTAAGTTCTTTAAACCAACTTTGTCATTGTTTCACTTAAACGCAATGCAGAGTCAACACGCTGAGACTTTACTTCTCAGAGGTTTCAACTCAAGTGAATTCTGCCTAAGTGAATTCTTATAATCACAGCATTAACGTGATGGCTGTGCATACGGCTTATCAAGTTTCTATCAAAACCAGATGGAAATTTTACCTGTAAGAATAGAAACAGAAAATAAATGAGGTACTGGCTTTCAAAGAGCGGAACATTGCAAACGTGATTGATCTTTTGTATTGCCTTCCGATTCGTACTGAACAGAAGGCACTCAATCTTTCGAATGAATACCGCCAAAATGTCATATGCTTCTTAAAGTTGGTTATATTTCAACTCATATTCTTAATTATTCAACTTACATTCTACATATGCCAGCAAAATAATATCGGTTATATCCCTTCCATCCTAACTAATTTTCTTTCTTACAGATCTGTAGTCCAGCTTGTACAGAACTAGAAGTAGTGGTGATGGATTACTTAGCAAAATTTCTGAACTTGCCTAAAGAGTTTATGCACTCTTCTGAAGGTCCTGGTGGCGGTATTATACAAGGTTCGGCAAGCGAAGCAGTGCTCGTAGCAGTAATTGCAGCACGCGACGAAGCTGTACGTCGCATTAAAGCAGAACGACCCGATATGAGTGAAAGCGATATACGTGGTAAACTTATAGCTTATTCCAGTGATCAAAGTAACAGTTGCGTAGAGAAAGCTGGTGTACTGGCCGCACTTCCCATAAAGCTCTTGCCCACTGATGATGATTTAATACTTCATGGTGAAACCCTCCAAAAAGCTATAGAGGAAGATATTTCAAATGGTTTAATACCTGTGATATGCATAGCTACATTAGGTACAACTGGAACGTGCGCTTATGATGACATCGTTACATTGGGTCCAGTGTGCCAAAAATACAATGTCTGGCTACATGTTGATGCCGCTTATGCGGGTGCTACATTTGCACTGGATGAATACGCACATTTACGTTTTGGTATGGAAATGGTTGATTCTTTCAATTTTAATATGCACAAAATGCTAATGATAAACTTCGATTGCACGGCTATGTGGCTTAGGGATGCAAATAGAGTCATAGATGTTTTTAGTGTTGACCGTATTTATCTAAAACATAAATATGAAGGGCAATCACAAATACCAGATTTCCGAAATTGGCAAATTCCATTGGGTAGAAGATTTCGAGCACTGAAGGTTTGGATTACATTACGTATTTATGGTGCAGAAGGACTAAGAACGCAGATTAGAAAGCATATTGAGTTGGCGAAAAGATTTGAGAGATTTGTAGTTGCTGATGAACGATTTGAAATAGTCTTTAAGAGTACATTGGGTCTGGTATGTTTCCGACCTAAAGGCGCTAATGAGATTACCACAAATCTTTTAGCGCGTATCACGGAACGTAAAAAAATTTACCTGATTCAAGCAAATCATAAGGCAAAACATTTCTTGCGTTTTGTTGTATGCGGTATGGATCCCAAAGAGCATGACATAGACTTTGCTTGGCACGAAATACAACAGCAACTGTGCGAATTACTACAACCTGATCCGAAGCAGAGTGTGCCAGCAACACTCGAAGATAATGTGAAAAATGAAAAGGAAGAAATAGTTTTTGGTAAATCAGAAATCGGAGCGATAACCCAACAGCTATCAAATGATTTACATATATCTGTAGGATGTGAAAAATCAAAATAGATAAATTTAGAAATTTAGTTATATATATTTATTTATTTAAGTTTATGATGTATATATATATATATATAATATGTTTTTTTTACATTATCATTATTCTGAATGAATTTTTTTTAAATATATTATATCTATTTTTAAAACTTTTGTACAAACTAAGTCAATGTTAATACTCCTAAATCATATTAGGTTACCTAAACCTTGATTATCTTCTAATTTTTTTGGAATTTTATTTTAAATAATCTGCTTCAATACTTTTGATAATTCAATCTGTGACGTCAATTTGTATTAAGATATCGTTAAAAGAGTCAAATATTTGAGATATGCAAACAACCAGCAGAGATGTACATCTTAACGGATGAAAAATTTTCTATATGAATTGTACAGCTACGCAACTATATGTAGCTTTGGAGCAATTTTATAATTGTCTTCGAAAAATAAAATTCCACGCTTATTTTAACATGCACTTCATGTTTCCACTGCAACTCAAATGAGCTAATTTATTGATAATGAGCTCATTTATGTGAAAAATTTGTATATGTTAAATCATTCCCGTCAGTGGCTATAATGAGCAAAATCGCTTAAATGAGACAGTGTGAATGTGCTATAGGTTAAAAAGCTATACAAAGAGCTTAATGAATAAGGTTAATGAAATTTACTTAGCAACCTCAAGTAGCATAAGCTAATTGATCTAACGAAGGCAGTGAAAACGTACTATAAGAGCACTTTATCATTTAAATCATTTTTAGGAGCTTTCAAAAAATAAATGAAGATGTGAGTTTTTATTTTTTAATGAAAATATAATACTAATTACAAAATTTATTAATATTAATTTATAATATCACATAAAATATGATTGAAAACAGCATTCTCCAAATTAAAAGCAAGTAATAAATAGTTATGCTATTGGCTGTGTGCGAGTTCAAGTAAATTGATGGTAAATTGAGGGAAAAAGTAAATTATATCGGTATGACAGTGAATGTTGGTGTTTATCAGAATTTGGAGTAAGGTTAATTATATAAAAATCAGGTAAATTTGGTATTACCATTGTGAATATTTTATAAGATCTTTAATAAATAAATAAATAAATTTGAAAACTTTTAACCAAAAATAATTAATAAGTGCAATAAATAAATATTTACATAAGTGCAATGCAAAAAATTCCTAGGAAATTTTAATTTACTTTACCTCAATTTACTCTAACTCGCACACGGTCTATCATTTAATTTTATCTAACATTTTTGTATGAATAAATCAATTTGTAAACAATTAGCGAGTAAATTCCAAAAAAACGCAGTTCCCATTTATTTGTTTTAAAAAAGAGGCATTAAATTTGAACATACTACATACCAATTAAATGTTTTTTTCAATAATTTATTTGTAATTCAAATCTTTAAATATAAAACAATTTTTTGTATTTTTTATTAAAGAACAACCCTGCGTTCAACAGAAACGTCACTAATTTTGCACAGATGAATTATTAAATTGCAAGGCGAGAGTGCCGGTCTATTATTGCAATATTTTTATTATTTTAGAAGTTATTTAAATTTTATTGAACAGTTAATTTAATGAAAAAATATTGATAAATTCTTTAATATTCAATGTTAATGCAATAATATTAGATTTTAATTAATATTGCAGCCCTGCTTTTTATTTTTATTACCTGATAAATACTTCAAATATTTTTTTAAATTTGTTTTGCTTTATAAACATTTTTCGAATCAACAGAATAAAGTAAAGTTAAGAAATATATTATACAAATAAATATATTATACAATATTTTTATTTTTTGATTTAATAAAACACTTTACCTGACTTTTCTTTGTTATCTAACGCTGTTGCGCTTTCCAAACTCGAAGCATTTCTTATCCGTAAATTTACGTTCACCCACTCGTTAAGTAGTTTTTTGAATTTATAATTAGCACGCAAACCACTAAAAACTCTTAAGTTTTGTTTGTTGATAAATAATTTACACATTTTATTGGTTTTTGTGGTTAACAAACTTTTTAATAAAACTATACACGAACCACTATCAAAAAAATTCCGGCTGCATTAATCAAAGCAACGAAACCAGCTGTTCAACCAAACAAAACAAACATCGAAGAACTATAGCTGTCTCTTTCTTTACTTACAATCACAGCTGATTGTTGAACTGCTGTTGCGTGCTGTCATCTACTGTGAATTGTTATTAATTAAAAAGCCAATTAACATATGTTTATTTTTCTTTTCGTTTTGAGGCGCAGAAAAAATTTAATTAAACTCAATTTTAAGCAAATCGCTTAGGTTTAAGTAAATTAAATAATTTAATTAACTAAAAACAACACAAAAATTGAAAATATCACAAATGTAAACTGTGAAATAAAGCATTTGTTGTGTTCTTAAAAAAATAATATGTATCGAAACTGGCACAGATTGACCGACATCTGGCGCCAACAATTGTTGTACGAAAATAGATCCGCGTTTTTACAACTGCAAAATGTTGTTAATTTCAAAATTGATGCCACCCACCAAATACCGGATGTGCTCCGAAAGCGTCAGTTTGTGCCGCACGATGTCGACACAAATGCCACAGAAGCTTTGCCGAAGGAAAAGAGGGTTGTTATATGCGGTGGTGGTATAATGGGTGCATCTGTTGCTTATCATTTAGCATTGTTGGGCTGGGGACCGAATACATTGCTTATAGAACAAGATGTGGTTGGCGGTGGCAGCCCATGGACGGCCAGTGGTTTGGCAGGTCGCTTTGAGTCTAGCTACACTGAACTTAAATTGGCAGAATATTCAGTGGACTTAATTAAAGACTTAACACAAAAAGGACTGCCAACTGGCTGGAAACAAGTCGGCAGTCTTAATCTGGCACGCAGTTTTGATCGTATGACCTCTTACAATCGTATGAAATCACAAGGCAAGTACTATAAATATATAAACAGAATTTTTATGTAATTTGATAACTTACAGGTGTGGCTTGGGGTGTGGATTGTGAAATACTCACTCCAGAGCAATGCAAGGAACGTTGCCCATTGATTGAGATTGATGATTTGGCCGGTGGTTTTTGGATACCTGCAGATGGTGTTTGTGATCCGCAATTAGTTTGTAAATCTTTCGTTTCGGAGGCACAGCGGAAAGGTGTACAAGTTATAGAGCATTGTGTTGCCAAAAATGTACGCACTTCACATGGTCGAGTTACCCGTATCGAAACAACGGCTGGTGATGTAATGTGTGACTATTTTGTGAATTGTACTGGCTTTTGGGCCCGTGAAGTTGGCACACTATCTTCACCAGCTGTTAAAGTGCCATTAAAAGCCGTAGAACATCATTATTTGCATACAAAGAAAATAGAGGGACTGGATCCTATGACGCCTTTTGTACGTGACTTTGATGGTGGTGTTTATTTTAGAGAGAAAAATGGCTGCATACTGGCAGGTAAGGAGGAAGCTATAAATAACCTTAATATACTATAAAGAGTGGATGCTTAAATCCGTATACTACAGATTAGTTGGTATCGGGTATCATTTTGACGTCAGTCGGTTTGACGGTGCGTAAATCATTTCACCTCCTCACCAGATAAAAATTTATTTACATATAATACATATATGTTTTATGTATATGTATACACACATACATATTAATATATATTTTTATTTACATTATAAATATATAATTGTGTATATATTATATTTTCATATTTTCCTTAATAGGTGGCTTTGAGCGTGAAGCAAAAATGGCTTATGAAGATGGCACTGTACCGCTTTCACAAGCAGAACGAGAGTTGCAACCTGATTGGGATCATTTTCATGATTTATTAGATGAACTGCTGCGCCGTGTGCCAACATTTAGAAATGCCACATTAGATCGACTCTCCAATGCACTTGAAGCATTTTCACCAGATTGTAAATGGATTTTAGGCGAATCGCCTGAAATACAAAACTATTTTGTATCAGCTGGTATGAAAACGATTGGTGTTTCCGCTGCCGGTGGCATTGGACGTTCTCTAGCTGACATGATTGTCAAAGGTTCAACGTTTTTGGATTTGCATATATTAGACATAACACGCTTTTTGGGTTTACACAATAATCGCAAATTTCTAAAGGATCGTTGTAAAGAAGTCCCAGGCAAACATTTTCAAGTTAATTATCCTTTTGATGAATTTCAAACTGGACGAAATTTGCGCATGTCACCCATATATCCAGCCTTAAAAGAAGCTGGCGCTGTTTTTGGTCAAACTATGGGTTATGAGAGACCAAATTATTTTGATGTGAACGACAAAACTGGTAATTACTTTTATATAAATTATTAAGATTTTATTTAAATTAAATTTTACTTTAGATGAATTTGGCATACCACGTTTTCGTATAGCTCATACGAACACCTTTGGCAAACCACCTTGGTTTGATCATGTTGCTTCAGAGTATAAAGCGTGCCGTGAACGCGTTGGCATTGCGGATTATAGTTCTTTCACCAAATACGATTTGTGGTCGAAAGATAGAGAAGTTATAGATTTACTGCAATATTTATGCTCAAATGATGTCGATGTGCCTGTGGGATCTATAATTCATACAGGCATGCAAAATTATGCTGGAGGCTATGAAAATGACTGCTCTTTAGCGCGTTTATCCGAAAAACAGTGAGAACAATTTTTGTTATTTATTTTATAATTTTCATTTATGAAATAAATATTTGTAATATCTGTTATAGTTATATGATGATTGCACCTACTATACAACAAACACGTGCCATGAGTTGGATCCGTAGACATATGCCAAATCATTTACGTGCCGGTGTTAACGTTGCCGATGTCACTTCAATGTACACAGCTATTTGTATATTAGGTCCTTATTCACGAGTCTTGCTTTCTGAGCTGACTGATACGGATTTGTCATCAAAGAACTTCCCATTTTTCACATATAAGGTGGGTATAACTACTCGATATTGTGTGATATAGAATTTATTTATTTATTTATTAATAATTAAAGGAACTTGATGTTAGTCTTGCTAATGGTATACGCACACTCAACATAACACATACTGGTGAACTAGGTTATGTGCTTTATATCCCAAACGAATTTGCTTTACATGTCTATTCAAGACTCTATAGTGCTGGCCAAAAATATGGCATACAACATGCGGGTAAGTAATTCGATGCCATATATTCAAATACTTCCAAAGCAATGTTATTTTATATATTATGTATATTTAGGCTAAAAGGCTATCTAATCGATTAGTTCTTATACACTTAATATGATTATGTCCACAATTATAATCTTAATCTATAAATAATGCAGGTCAAGAAACAGTTTTTATTATATATTGTAATTAAAAGTCATTAGAAATGTTATCTGTTCTTAACTTTGTTTTTCGAGTTATTTATATTTTTTAAGGGTCGATGTTGACAGTTTTTTTAACTTAAACTGCAATTCATCATCTATGACTTAATCACTCAATCGTAAAGTGATATATAACTTTCAAGTAAGTGCTAACACACTGAGCTATGATCTGACTTCTACAAGTAATAATCAGTTATACATACTTGATAATCTTTTCAAACCTAAAAGGTTTAACCTATGAACGAATGTCAACAAAATTGTTTGAAAAGTCTGCCCTCTCAGCATCGCAGATAACATCTCTGCTTAATCCAAAAGTTTTAATATTGGAAATCTATTCAATATCTAAGTTTATCCCCTATGTGTCCTCTCTTTGAAATACAGAATCGCGCAAGTCTAATTAATTTAAGTTGTAGTCCACGTTTGACGGAACAATCAACTCTTTCGTTGACTTCGTTTACTTCGTGTTCCAGGACCAAAATAACTTGGTAGCTTTATACATATTTTATATCTGTATAAAGTTTACTTTCAAAATTTATGGATAAGGTAATTAGGGGGTCTGTACTTTAAATTTATTGCTTGCTACAGTATTTTTTAACTGAAATAGGAGTAATTGATATATATATATTGCAATAAATTGCAATCATTTTTATTTTCAGGTTATTATGCCACACGCACTTTGCGGATTGAAAAATTCTATGCATTTTGGGGTCAGGACCTGGATACATTCACAACACCATTGGAATGTGGTCGCAGTTGGCGTGTTAAGTTTAATGTAAGTAACTACTGCCTAAAAATAGGATTACTAAAGCTAAATGTTTTTAGTTAAAGCTAATGACCTCATAAAATAATCTGTGAATATTTTTACCTATATGTATTTGATCGTATATTTGTCTATTATTGAGTGAGGAATGCGTTATACTAAATGTATATCACCTCAATAGCTCAACATTTTATTTAAATACAGCACTTATTATAGTGGATCACCGAAGTGAATACAGTCATTATTGATTAGAAATGCTTCACAGACTAAATCCCATTTTATCAAACAGAATAGGACTAATATAAAACTAATATTATAATATAAGTATAAATTATAAAATATTATAAAACTATAATTATTAATAATTATTTAATCACTAGAAATTAAGTTTAAAGACTAACTGCCACAATTTTTAATCTCTCTATTACTTCTAGAAACCCATCAACTTTATTGGAAGAGAAGCTTTATTAAAACAACGCGAGGAAGGAGTTAAGCGTATGTACGTGCAATTATTATTGAATGATCATGATCATGAAGTTGATCTCTGGTGTTGGGGTGGTGAACCTATTTATCGCGATGGTAAATATTGTGGAATGACTACAACTACCGGTTATGGCTTCACCTTTGCGAAACAAGTTTGTCTTGGATTCGTCCGGAACTTTGATGAAGCTGGTAATGAACTTCCTGTGACCAATGACTATGTGCTTTCTGGTCACTATGAAGTTGAAGTTGCCGGCATACGTTTCGAAGCTAAAGTCAATTTGCATTCACCAAATGTACCAACCAAATTTCCTGATCGAGAACGTGCAGCATATCATGCAACACGTGATAAACCTGATCAGGCGGATCTATTAACTTATGAGACAAAGTTTTAAAAGCATTTATTTATTTATATTTAAAAAAATGTAAAAGATATTAAAAACATAACAGGTCGAATGTATCTAATATTTGTATGTATTTAATTTATTTTATTACTTTATATATGGCGTCCACTTAAATATTTAATATTTATTCTCTTTTGTATATAAAAATTTATTATAATATGGAATCGGATTAAATCTCAAGAAAACTAATCAAAATTTTTACCAAATAAACATTATGTCTCCCAAATTAGTAATATTTGAACAAAAATTTCAAATTATTTACATTTTTATAGTAAAATAGTAAAGTAGTAAATTATTAATTATCATTAATTATAAATTACACTGCAGCTCAATTAAGCTTAATAAGTGTCCTTTTTTGATAAAACTAATGTGTTCTCATTGAACCAAAAAAAATTATTTACTAACCATGGACAATGACTATTAACAATTAAAATGTTCACTTGTTATTTAAATGAAGTTTATTAAAACTAAAACCAAAAATAAATAAAATACGTAAAACTATACATATTCTATAAACAATTACATTTTTTGATATTAAATTATATTATATATTGTGCTGAAAAATGATATGTATTTAGAAGTTTTTGTGAGTAAAAATGTATTAATTATTGAAAAAAAAATTATTTGAATATATCTTTAATAAACTTATTAAAATTATATTCAGTTTTTTATTTATTTTATAAAGCAATGCCTAAGACTAAATTGAAGATAATTAACTAAATTAAAGTTAATTAACTAAATTAAAGTTAATTAACTAAATTGAAGTTAATTAACTAAATTGAAGTTAATTACCTACTTACTTATTTGTTTGTCCAAAACAACCCGTTCTACAAAAATGTGTACGGCGCCTTGGATAGTTTCAAGCGTGATTACTACTCCTAGAACTAGATCACTCGGCTACAGACTCGGCTCTCTTCTCCTATATTTTTTTCATCTAACTGCCGCTTCTAACACTTTTTTTACTTAAGCATCGGACACTAGTCTGTTTTCTTGCCCCAATGCATACAGTAAATTGAATCCAATTGATCTTTTAACTCACTTTATTGAAGTAGCTAGGTTACACTGCCTTGATTCCATTTGACTTCATTTTATATCCCACCCAACCCCAATTTATTTTTAATTCGAAATCAATATCTCCCCTCTGACACTACAATTAGCTACCCATATTCTTATCCATGTATACGTCTTCATTTCATTCATGTTCTCTGCTTTATAGATCCTTGCAGGCTACTGAAAATCTTATGAAGAACTTTTCTCTCGCATATCTTTTTGGGGCGATGTATACTATTGTAACCTATAGAACAAAAGTTTTGAAATTAGTTAATATATTGTATTATGAATTTTTGTTAGTTTCAAATAATCAAACTATTTTCTTATAAACCTAGACGAAATTGTGAAGTAGAAATTTAACATACTTATCTAAGATCTTCCACAAAAAGATCTTTATTACTGTGTATTACTGTAGTAATATACGATAATAATACGAATAAAAAGCAATAACTATAAAATAAGCTACATCTGTAGATGTAAGGTTAGGTCTGTGATCTCAAAAGCGTTTACTTAATTTAATCTAGAGCTTCACTTTGTAGTTGTGTTTATTAAAAATTAATTTGGTTAGTCAGGGCAGAAAGCGTTTCCTTGTGAGAGTGAAACTTCCTACTATTAAGACTTAACATTACAGTGCTCTTAACGGTACCAATTGATGTTTTACGTTTCGATATGGAATAGAATGAGATCCATTTAATGCCTCTGATGTTCTTTGCGACACTGCCGAAGCTATGGGCCCTGAACTTCGTGATACCATATTTACACCTATCGTCGGACGCCGCAGGTAAAACTCACTAACTACCATTTATATTGCAAAGAGTATCAAGTAGTGCCTACTGGATTTTAGTCGCTTTTTACAATAGGCATGCTTAGCTGTGGAATATTTTAACCCGTTTTCCGCGTAGGTACCTCATTGCGTAACTTTTTCGCACATATGTCTTATATATATGCAAAAAGATAATAAACAAAGTGCATTTGCTAATTGCTCTGTTAGAACCCTGCGATTGTTTATTATAGATTTGCTTATTATATATACATCAGTGAACTACATGAACTACTCTCCCTGAACAATTCTTAGACTCTATATAAAATGTAGAATGTACTCAACTAACCATAATATATGTAGAAAGAACGCATAATAATCGATCAAAGGGTATCCGAAATGTATGATATTACCTTAACAAGAAAGAAGTAAAAACAATTACCGAACACAAATTTACCTATATGTATATTGCTTGAAATTTTAAAACGACCTGGGGGATATCCAGTTCTAATAACTAATAATTTTCTTTCGGAAAATCCTTATGCGAGATGACATCAATACTTAATAGAACTGTAAACGTAAAGTTCCAAGAACAACTGATTCTATTTCTAGAAGGCACTCATCAACGCCCAAGTGCAGTTCATTAACCCCCAAAAGGAACTATATTGGCCGATCTCTACGGTGTACAATAACAGGATTGTCAACTCGATACATTTCTGAAATACTTTCGATCAGTGATACTATCACTTCAACTGTTTAGTTCTTTAGCAGATCTCTGCAAACTACAATAACAACAGAACTGTAAACCTGATATATTTCTGAAATACTTTGGATTAGTGATATGACACCCAAAAGGAACTACACCAGCCGATTTCTACGGGGTACAATAACAGGACTGTCAACCTGATACATTTCTGAAATACTTTGGATCAGTGATACTATCACTTGAACTGTTTAGTTCTTTAGCAGATCTCTACTAACAGGACTATGAACCTGATATGTTTCTGAAATTTATTGGATCAGTGATATGACACCCAAAAGGAACTACACCAGAAAACAACAGGACTGTCAATCTGATACATTTCTGACATACTTTGGATCAGTGATATGATACTGCTATTATTAAGTTCTATTCAAAAACCGGTTATACTATATAGCTTTTGAAGTAGCGGATTAAATTTTTATTATATTTACAGTTTGATATAGACTGGATTTCATTGTTTTTTTTATTTATATAAAGTGAACTTAATTTCAAATTAAGTATAATCTCTATGGTGTTTACAACTCAAGATCCCACAAATCTAAAACATTTTTTATTCTGCTATTTATTTTATATTTTTTTAAAATTATTTTTTGTATATATAAGTATTATTTTTTTATTTTATATTATTTCTGTTTATTAATTATTAATTATTAAAATTATTATTAAATTGTTGAGGTTTAATTTTTTTTATTAAAAATTTTTTCCACCATGAAGTCAGCTATGTTTTATGGTACTAAGTATATATTATACTGGGGTCTTATGTATGTTTATGTATATATATATATACATACTAATCATATCAATATTTCATAATTAAAATTAAATTACTATAGCATTTCACCCTTGTAAATATGAAATATGTATATATAAGCTTTTTCGAACCATTAAGGACTCCATTATAAACATATACATATGTATGTAAATACAGGACTATGGATACTTATGTGTACATATATGACTCTCCTATAAAGTTAATTTTTTTTTTGTTTTTTGGGTGATTTCGTGGCAACTACACTAAAATTGTGTATACCATTTCCTAGTAAACATATCCTTGAGGATGGATTGAATACATAGCGTAAAAGCTTGTAAATATTAGTGGCACAAGAGTATAGAGAATTTATACGTGTGCACAAGGCAATGCAAGTACAAAAAAGGAAAAAGCAAAAAGGATAACGAGGAAAAATAAAATTTGGTATACACACGAATCGTGTGCAGGGTTTGTTCCCAGATTGGCTTTTAGCTCGTAGCTCGTTTGTCCCAGACCATGGCCAACTTTTTCCAGTAAAATTTCAATCGATATTTAACCCAGCCAAACAGAACGCCAGTTTCAAGTGGACATGCAACACAGGCATGCAAATGCAGACATGCGCACTGGCCGGAGTTTCTGCTTCCTGGCAGCCAGCAGCCAGCACAAGTGACAACAAAAGCGTCCGTGCCTTGTATTGTGGGTGCTGAGCATTCAGTTGCAAGCTAAAATAAACAAAATAAAAGCAGGCTCGTTTGTGTGGGTGTGTGTGTGTGGGTGTGTGTGTGTGTCAGGTGCTCGATATCGTGTACAATTCAAAGGTCTGCATGCGCATTAACAAAATTGTTTTTGGTATTGTTGGTGTTGTTGTTGTTGTTGGTATGAACCGCCACATTTCTGGTATTGCGATTACAGCACAGCACAGCACAGCATTCATGCATGTACTCACTCACTAACAACAACAGCAACAACAACAGTGGATAGAGTGACAGCGGCAACAACAAAACATAAAACATGAAACAAACAACAAATAACGTTGGCCGCAAAAACAATTTTTTGTGAGCTTCGTGTCCTAAATATTTTTGTTATGAGGTAGATGAACTTGTGCATGCATCTTTCAAATCTTGATTGTGTACAGAATTTTACGCGAGAAACTCACTGCTCTCACACACAAGAGCACGAAAGCATATTTTTGTTTTCCTCTTCGCCGCCAAGCCCACCCACCCGACACCCGACACCCGACACCCGACACTCGAGAACTTGTGCCATAATTAAAGCTTTGCTTTTGTTATTACTGGTTTTGGCACCTTGCCATGATGTGTACATAAAATGCAGTTTTTTTTCCTTGTTTTTTTTGTTTTTTTAGTTTTGCTCATTTTAGTCGTAAGCTGTTGCCAACCTATTTAAAATGAGGTTGGCTTCATTTTTATAGCGGTACACTAGAGATCAAATTTTTTTTTTTTTTTTTGTTATGTATTTTCGTTATAAATACGTTCACATTTTTCCCAATTATGTTTTGCTAAACAAATTTAATTTACTTCTGCATGTATACACATCTTCATCTTCATTCCCATTCCCATTCTCATTTTTTTGTTGTTTAATTTAAAATATTTCCATTTTTAGATTTTAATAGACTATAATAATACTGACGTCACACTACTACACTAAAGCTATTTCCACTTACACTTACTGTTAGCAATGAAGAATCGAGCCGTTACGTATTCAAGGTCTAC